CCCCAGCACCACATGCCAGCCAGCCCCGCCCCCTGGTGGGCTGAGCTGGCCACACACACACACACACACACACACACAAAATAAATGTTTAAAAAAAAATGTTCATCTAAATTGCGACCATTTCTTCATTGCCAAAGCGCAGTAGAGTGATATTGCCTTGTTTCTGAAAGTGAAAATACGGTTTCTTGGACTGGTCAGCAACTGTGCTGCTGGCCGTGTTGCTGCTGTTTATTCCTGGTGTTTGTTTTCTGCTGTTTCTGTTCTGCTAGTGCTTTCACCTTTTTCCCTGGTTTGGCGATACTAACCCTGGTATCTTCAAACCTAGTGGCTTTGAAATACCCTTGCACAGGCCTTGCTACAAAGAAAGATGTTAACGTTGTGTGAAATTAGCGTGTTAAACATTTAATATAAGTCATTATGTGATTGTTTGCTCTTCTAACGACAGTATTCTTTTGCTCTGCCTTAAAAGAAAAATACTTAGATGTCACCTAAATCAAAAAGAAGACGGACTGGGGATATATCTCAGTGGCACAAGCCCCAGCTTGGCAAGCACAAGGTCCTGAGTTTCGTTCCCAGTACCAAGAAACCCAGTTTAGATTATATTGTCTAGCAGATATTTGCAAGTTAGATACAACCGTCAAACACTAGAGCCAGATTTTACTTCCTCTGGCTTCTGAAATGGCATTTAAATTGGGTGACTAGGACTGATGCTCTGCTAGTAAGCTGTCCAGCTGGACCTTCATTGGTCCAGGATCCGGTGTTAGAAACTGGCTTCTGAAAAGACCAGGAATACTGCAACAGCGTTGGCAGGGAAACACTCATGTGTCTTAATCGTCTTACTTACATAAAACAGTTTTCCAAGAAATAAAAATCTTGGTGTGTGACTAGCAAGACTTGTGCTTCGGCAGCTTCCGACTCCATCCCCTCCTTCTTCACTGGCCTGGGAGAACGTGTTTGCACATCTCAAGTGGCACGTGGAAGCTTCCTGAGAGCTGGGATCAGGCTTGCTGTTTCAGAAATAACAAGAAGAACAAGAGGATGTTCTGTGAGAATAACAAGACGAGCAAGAGCCGCTCATGTGCATCTGCAGTGGACAAAGCCTCTCCTGTGCCTGTGGGCACGATGGGCTCTGCTCCTAACAGAGCCTGCTATGAAGAGTTCTGTTCTGCTCTGTCCGCTTGTTCCTGAACAAATTTAGTGTCGTGTCACAAACCACACTTCTAAAATCTTATTTTCTTCCTTGCTTCTTAGTCGATTGGAAATGCTAAAACAACCAGGAATGATAATAGCAGCCGTTTTGGGAAGTATATTGAGATTGGTTTTGATAAGCGCTATCGAATAATTGGTGCCAACATGAGGACTTACCTTTTAGAGAAATCCCGAGTGGTGTTCCAGGTAGGCTGGCATGTTCTTGTGAAGTTGTACTCGTGTTAGATTTTCACTGTGGCAGAGCACGTGCTTGCTGGTGTGGCATGCATTTTATTTCTAAGTTGTCATTATTTGGTACTGAGCCTTGTACCCTGGGCCCCCACACCAATCTACAGACCATGTCCTTTTTATTCTTTATTTTGAGACAGGGTCTAGCTAAGTCGTTGAGGAACTCAGGGTGGGCTCAAACTTACGATCGCCTCACCTCAGCCTCCCAGAGTGCTGGGGTTGCGGCTGTGCACCGCCACACCCTGTCCAACCTTTCTATTTTTAAAACTAGCAGCTTCCGAGCAGCCAGGCTGTCTTACTATTGAATGTGGATGACTTGGGGTGAATGACTTGGGCTGTTGCCTGCAGATGTTTATTGGAAAGATAGTTTAAGAAAAAGTACTAGTCTTGTCTCCCTTCTTTCCTGCTTGCTGTGGAGAGCATCAGTTAGTTATATTTCCTTTCCTGCCTTCTTTTTCAGAGTATGATACTGTTTAGTTAGGTCAGTGAGGGTTAGTAAAGAGAAGTAAGGCCTCACTGTGGTGCCCAGGCTGTCTCAGGCTCCAGGGCCCAAGCAACCCTGCTGTCGTAACCCTCCCAAGTAGCTGGCCTGGAGGACTGTGCCACTGTTCCTGGCTTCCAGAGAGACTAAGTCCTGAGGGTTAATGGTCATATATAACTCTTAGGGTATTCGGGAAAGGATAGTTTATTTCACCAACTGAGACAATTAAGTATTATAATTGTGTTTTATGATAGAATCTTCTGCAGTTCAGAGTAAAATGCAGTAATTGAAATCTCTTCTTATTTCAAAGGCAGAAGAGGAGAGAAACTACCATATCTTCTATCAGCTTTGTGCCTCAGCAAAGTTACCTGAATTTAAAATGCTCCGATTAGGTAGGAATATATCATTAGATTCATGTGCTATATTGTTTTCTCTTCGTTTCTACATTTACTTGTTAAAAGGAGCTTATATTATACTGAAATACTTATGGATAAAATGGTTAGAAACTCTGCAAGTGGCCTCT